TATTATTATTATCTCTTATTATTATTATTGGTATTAAGATCATCAATCATTTTTTAAAGCAAAAAAGACACAAAATAAAAAGGGACTTGTTACATGTTTATGTTGTTATATTGGATGAGAAGTAAAATTTAGTGAGTTTCTACCGGTGCTGGGTGAAAATAAGATAAATCACAACAAATGGATATGTGAAACAACTATAACAATTGATTAAACAATGATATTAAACAATGCATATATAAATTTAGATTGCTATGTAAATGACCGAATCAAACAAAAAACAGGAGTGTTGCCAAAACAAAGAAATAAACAACAAAACAATCTAACTAATCTCCCACCAACTTAACTAACTGAAGAAAACTGTAAGTTTATTTGTGTACAAGTCTTATCCCCTGGTGGCATATGGGTTCGCTTACGACAGATTTATGCACTTTTGAAAACCTTAAAATAAACACCACCAAATGCAATATTATTATGCAGCATGGATGAATTAAATTTCAAACTACAGTACGCTGATTGTTCATCAGACAGGGTGAGATTATTACGGTGTAATTTAAATTTTTTAAGTGATCTATTCCTTTAATGAACATTATCAGTTTTGAATCAGAAAATGTGTATATATTTGTCCAATTTTCTGAATTTTGATGATGATTTTTTTTTTTACCTAATTAAATAATTGCTTTTGCAGTTGGCTGATCAATGGAACGAATGTGGACACAGAAGCAGATTTCCGCTACAGTTTGATTGATGGAAATTTAATAATACACAATGCAAGCGAAGTCATCGATTATGGAAGATACCAGTGCAGAGCTGAAAACAGCATTGGCATCGTCTTGAGTCGAGACGCCCTCCTGCAGTTTGCCTGTGAGTAATCTCGAACCCTTTTTTAATACTAAAAGTTAAAAATCAATGAGATGCTTTAGACTTTTTTATGTTTATTTATTGACTTTTCCCCAATATGATTTATTTATTTAAATTATTGTTTTAAAACAAATATTTTTTTTTAAGTAAATAGTTTTTTATAAATGTATTTTATGACAAAGTCTTTATTTTATGTTATGTGTGCATGAATTCATGTTTAACTAGTACATATAAACCAGGGGTGCTCAATCCTGTTCCTGGAGATCTACCTTCCTGCAGATTTCAGTTGCTACCCATATCAAACACACCTGCCTGTAATTATCAAGTGGTGTTCAGGTCCTAATTAGTTGGTTCAGGTGTGTTTGATATGGGTAGCAACTGAAATCTGCAGGAAGGTAGATCTCCAGGAACAGGATTGAGCACCCCTGATATAATACAATTTGTTGGTTGGTTGATTGGTTGGTTGAATGTTTAATAGTTGGTTGGTCAGTTGGTTAGTTGGTTGTTTTGGTTGGTTGTATGATTGGACGGTTGGATGGTTGTTTGGTTGGCTGGTTGATTGGTTGGATGGTTGGTTGATTGGTTTGGTTAGTTATTTGGTTGCTTTGGTTGGTTAGATGTTGTTTGGTTGGCTAGTTGGTTGTTTGGATGGTTAAATGGTTTGTTGGTTGGTTGGTTGCTTGGTTTGATTGGTTGGTTGCTTGCTTGGTTGGTTTGATGGTTGCTTGGTTGGCTGGTTGGTTGGTTGTTTGGTTGGTTGGTCGGTTGGTTTGGTTGGTCAGTTGGTTGTTTTGGTTGGTTGGATGGTTGACTGTTTGGCTGGTTGGGTGGGGGTTTGTGGGTTGGTTGTTTGGATGGTTGATTGATTGATTTGATTGATTGATTGATTGATTGATTGATTGATTGATTGGTGGGTGTATGTATAGATGGATAGATGGATGGATGGATGGATGGATGGATGGATGGATGGATGGATGGATTGATGGATGGATAGATGGATGGATGGATGGATGGATGGATGAATGGATGGATGGATGGATGCATAGATTAATGAATTGATGGTTGGCTGGTTGGTTTCTTTGGCTGGATGGTTTGTTTGGTTGGTTGGCTGATTGATTGATTGATTGATTGATTGATTGGTTGATTGATTGATTGATTGATTGATTGATTGATTGATTGATTGATTGATTGATTGATTGACCTTCCATCTTTTTGAATTTGGCAGTTACACCTTTTGGCATTCAAAGAGAACTGTTTATTTGTATTTTTTTTTCAAATTATATATACCCACATGACATGCCCAAATTGTCAACACCCCGATTGCCTCCTACTAATACCACAGATTAAAAGTAAATACACTTAAAGTTATTCCCATGTTGCTTTGCTCCTTCCCTTAAAATTTACCCCAGAGTCAGCTCCATCAGATGGAAAAGTGCCCTGAACGCTTTGCTTCACAGAACAAGACCAAAAAGCGCATTTCTTTCCCTAGTAATCCCTTGGCTTCCCTCCAAAATATCATCACAAGCCACGGAAGCATGCAGTGTGGAGCTAGAGGCGCAATTGCTTTCTGGAAAGCACATTGTTAGTTTTGCTTACAGTTTCCCCAGGAGCGATGGCCATAATAGCCTTATTGGCGTACCCAACGGGATTGTGTACTTCACTATTCACTGCCCATGGTGTTTTCTGTAGAAAAATGAACACTTAGTGTACATGTAATGTAACAGTCTTACGGGCAGTAAATGTATTACGGCTTCGGCTAGAAAGCCTGTTTTTCGCTTCCCAGACTGTAATATCTAAGAGGTGTTCACTCGTGTTCACTCGCCTACATGAAGAATAGATTCCGTCTTGTGTTTTCTGCGCTCTCTCTCCGTAAAAAAAAGAACAGTGCGAACAAGATCCTAAAGTCATCCGGTCTTTTCTTTGCATCTCCGTATGAGCTGCCAGCCCTCATGAACACAATGTTCTGTTTTTTTTTTTTTTTTTGTATTTTTATTTTTCTCTCGTCCTTGTCCATCGCTTGGCTGTAACCTTGCTCTGCTCATTGTGGCCCATTCTGAAAGCCTGTCGGAGAGACAAAGGAAAGCTCCTGGCAGCAGACATTGGGATGCAGAGCTTTTCCCAGGCCTCCACATAACAAATGGCCACCATTCATCACCCCGTTGGACACCCAAGGATCTTTCACTCTTATTGGCAGGGGGCGATCTCATGAGCCTGACATGGTGCCGCGTCCATGCACAACGAGGTTACCGTTAAATGAATTAACCATCATTTCAACACCTTGTCAACATAAAACACTGTTTACAACCCATTTTACTTCCACATTCTAATGCATTAGATAGTGAATCAGGACATTTGGTGAGGATAATGTGGGATGGAACATTTTTTTTTTTTACAATGACAATTGATTGGGTGGCTCGAAGTTGGAATACGTTGAAAAATAAAGCTTGGTGTTATCCCGTGAAGTCCAAAACAAATGATTACATACATAAACTGAATCCACTGATGATGTAACACTAAAAGAATGTAATTGTAATGTACAAACCGCAAGTCATTGTTATTTATGATGACCGAGCCAAAGCTCCTATTTTTTTAACATCACCATGTTGCTGAGACTTTTATTTCAGTGTATTGCTGTTCTTCCAATTAGAAAATATTGAGTAGAGGTGGGACTTTCTGTTTTACACATCATCCCTCACAACAATTTACAGTAAGAGGGGCATGGTTAGGAATAATATATCTGAAGCCATCAAAATGATGTCCACCCAGAATGACCATTATTCCAAACGTGGAAGCAGCTGGTCAGATTTAGATTGAAGATTACCAAACAAAAACAGTGCATTAACTTGTGTGAATTAACTGTTTATCTTAAGAATAAAATGTTTGCTAACAAAATAAACATGGTAAATTTTCACACATGACTCTATTGTGTGTCTTAATAATATGAAGCAGGTTTTGCAACCCATACCTCATGACAAAAACATAGAGTGTGAAACACTGGAATTTAATGAGTACACTTTAGGTTGACTTGATTTTTCCAACCTGAAACATATGTATTGTCAAAACTGGAAAGTTTAAGCAGCATTGGTGGCATTGGTGACTTACACTGGTAGAAATAGATTGAGGAAACTGGTTCTTCGTGCGCATGAACAAAACAAAAATTCAATGAGAATATGAACAAGCCCTTTTTCAGTTCATGTTAAGCAAGCTAAGACTTCTATACTTGTTAAGTATAGAGTATATATTTATGTACACTACCTGACAAAAGTCTTGTCATTTATTAAAGTTTTAGAAACAACAAATAATAACCTGACTTCTAGTTGAAAGACAAAGGCCTCTAGATTATGCTTATTTTACCAAAATAAATATGATCATTTCTTGATTTTTTTTCAGGACAGATAAAGTCATCTAGAATTGCAAAGAAAGCGTTCTTGCAGGACTCCCAGAGTTATTATTTTTTTGGATTCATCTTCAGTGACTCCATCTTACTCCAGACATGCTCAATAATGTTCATTCTGGTGACTGGGTTGGCCAATCCTGGAGCACATTGACTTTCTTTGCTTTCAGAAACTAAAGCTGAAGTATTGACCTTATTCTAAAATGCGGAAGTGCGCCTGTTTTCGCGATTGTCTTAGAAGTTCCGATTCAGTCGCCTATGGGAGAAATGACTAGGAATAATAAACGGCAGAAAACGGTCAAACTACTCGCTCTACAAACAAATGTTTGCATGACTATACAGACCAAGTAGAATAATATAATAAGAAAATATCAAACTGCAACATCAAGCAGTGTAATGAGCATTTTTAAAGTCAAAATATGAATGGAAGTGAATGAGACCGGAAGTTTCGAGCCAAAAAGATGGCAGCGCCCGCTCGTCGACAGAGAATAAGGTGAATAAGAAGGAGCGTTTTCCTCTCCTGTGTTTTATAATGTAATGGGCTGCACAAATGTCTTGTTACCTCAGATTGTTGATGTTGCCATCCACTCTGCAGATTTCTCGCACGCCCCAACTGGGCTGGCCAATCCCGGAGCACCTTGACCTTCTTTGCTTTCAGGATTTTTGATGTGGATGCTGAAGTATGAGAAGGAGCACTATCCTGCTGAAGATTTTGCCCTCTCCTGTGGTTTGTAAAGTAATGGGCTGCACATTTGTCTTGTTACCTCAGGATGTTGATGTTGCCATCCACTCTGCAGATATCTTGCTCACCCCCATATTGAATGTATACCCCAAAAAATATTTTTCCTTTACCAAACTTGACTGATTTCTATGAGTATCTTAAATCCATGTTGGTTCCAATATGTTTTCTGTAATATTTGATGATTGGAATGCAGTTCAACAAATGATTGATTAGAAAAAAAAAATATATATATATATAATAATAATAATAATAATA